TTAATATTAAAACGTAATATTATAATACATTATTGTAATGTAATAATATATCATAATATCATATCGTAAGGCTATAAATAGATTTTTTTTGCAAATAACGCGATGTTGTTGTTTATGCGATTTTAGATTAATTTATGTGATATAAAACTATATAAAGAGTGAATGTCTGATAGGTGGGAGGGAGGATAAAATGATTTTTTTAAAAAAATATATTTTACCATTACATTTTTTGTATCAAATAATCGATTTTGTATCATTTGAACTTAAGAATTTTTTTTAAAAATTTTATTACTCTAACGGATTATTTATTAATATATAAGTATTCACAAATATTTATCAAATAATTCACAGATATTTGCATAAATTTGTAACACATAAATACATAAAAATGATCTGTCTATCTGGATATTTGTATTATCTGTGCAGATTATAATTTATGGATCACTTCTCTAATTCAACTTGAATGATAAAAAAAATCATTCAAGAATGATAATGAATCGTTTGACTTGAACGATAAAAATCATTCAAGAACGATGACAAATCGTTCAAGAATGATGATAAATCATTCAAGAACGATGACAAATCGTTCAAGAATGATAATGAATCATTCAAGAACGATGACAAATCGTTTAAGAATGATAATGAATTATTCAAGAATGATGATGAATCATTCAAGAACGATGACAAATTATTCAACTTGAACGATAAAAAAAATCATTTAAGAAGAATGATGATGAATCATTCAACTTGAACTATAAAAAAAATTGTTCAAGAAGAATAATGATCCAAATCGTTTAAGAAGAATGATGCCTCAAATCGTTTGACTTAAACGATAAAAAATTTGTTCAAGAAGAATGATAAGAAATCGTTTGCTTTTCCCCTCTTCCTACTCCCTCTCCCTTTTTTCTCCTATCCAATCTTTTTGTTTTTTTTTATTATTTTTTTTCAAAATTAAATCGAGTTAAAATTGAGTTGAATCAAATTGAATCGAGTTTAAAATTTATATAACTCGAATCAAATCAAATTGAAAATTTGACTTGACTTAACTTATTCAGAACTTTAGACAAGTATTAACTTCAGTTGGATGGCCTACATGTTGGTTAGAAGGGTTATTTTTATTTGAAATATTTCTTAGAATTTTTCTTTATAGATGGTTCTTTGGATTGGGCTAGTAAATATAGTTAGGTAATATATTAGTCGATCATTTATAAATAAAATATATACTTAGTAGCTCAACTATTTTGATCTAATTTCATTTATGATATACTAATCTCTTTCTATATCAGAAAAGTTTATTAAAATCTAATATTTAAAAAATCTATCATGAGAAAATTATTGTATACAAAATTTTGATCAACTGATTATGCTTTTAACTTTTTTTTAATGCATAAATTATGTCAATATCGCAAGTAATTTTTCTTTTTAGGAAAACTATTATTTCATATTTCTTAATTCTTATGCATGCATTTTGCTAAACCTTTTAAAATTATACAGCTTGCTAAAATTTTTTAAACTTATACTAATAAAGAAATATTGATTAAGAAATGTTTCATGTAAATATTATGTGATTATTAATAAATTAAGTTTGTATTTCCTAAATATTTTGCAAGAATCTATAAAAATTTTAAACTAATAACTATTTGTTCATTTTCTGCAAAAAAAAGTTTTCGCATTCTTAAGAAATCTTTTTATGCATCTTTTATTTATAAATATCTCATTTGAAATCTTATCTATTTTCTTCAAAATTTTTCTTTCTTTAAAAAAATTATTGCAAATTTTTAAACCAATTTTAATATTTTTTTAAAATGCTTGTATAAACAAAAAGAAATCTCCTTTCTCTTAACATTGGAGTGCAGTTTGATACAAAAAATTTAGAAATGAAAAAGTTTTTCAAGGTAAGACGGGTAGATTTAAGAATAGTTTAGTCTAAAAGTTTTGATTATATGAAGTATATGCTAGCTTATCATGAGCTTTTAAATATATATAACCTATGCTGCTTTTTAATAAAGTGTAATGATTTATTTAACATTATTTGGTTAACTGTAACAACAACTAATGTTTTTACCCTTTTTTTTTTTATCAAATTAAAGGTTTATGTCAAAAAGTTTAAAAGGAAGTTTAAGCTCAAAAAGATCTTCAAACAAAAATTTCAACTTTAAAAAATCAACTATTAACTTCCTTAGATCAGATTGCTAAATTTTTTCTTGAGTACAAATGTTTAGGAAAAGACTTGCTTTAGAAAAAAGACAAGAATCAAAAACTTCAAGAGGATTATAGGAAGCTTAATAATAACTTCCAGTTTGTTCGTCAAGAAGAAAATAATAATTTAGAAGTTCTAGAGTAACTTCGAAAATGTTTTAACTTTATCTAAAATTAGCTTATAGAGAATAATAATTGTTATCAATTTTCAGTGTGCCTTATTTCTCGTGAAGATTAATTGAATTAAAAATTTTTTTTTATTAATAAAATTGTTATGTATTGTTTTATATAAAATTATCCAATGATTGTAATAAGAATGAATACTATTATTATTATTATTTTAAGAATTGCTGATTATATAATTAACACTTTTGTTTTTAGTTTTATTATTATTTTCTTTTTCAATAATAATAAAATTCATTTTCACTATATGTTACATAATCAAAATAAAATTTTGTTTTTAAACTTTATAAACTTCTAAATATTTTATATTCTAAATATAATTTCTTTTTCTTTCTACTTTTCTATTGATATTCTATATCACAAAATCCTTTAATGTTATAATAACAACTTTATAATATTCTTTTTAAATAAGATACAATACTTTGTTATAAATAATCTAATAATATCATTAGTTTTTTCAAGTTTTTATATAATAATTTTAATTCTTCTTTAACATTTATCTCTTTATTACTTTATATTTCTGAACAGGTTGAACATTATTTTTAGAATTTATTTTAATATCTTCACATTTATTATTTTCTACTTCTTCTTGATATAATTTAAATATTTCATCATATATATCATCTATACCTTAAGTTTCATTAAAAACTTGTTAAAAAGATTTTTCAAAATCTACATTTAACTGATATTCTGAATTAATATTTTCATCTAAACTATTTTCCTTTTCTTGACTTTTAATTGAAATAGAATTTTAAATTTAACTTTCTATTATTTTAAAAAATTGTTATATAATTTCTTCTTTTGTGTCTTCAAATATTGATATTTTTTTTGCTTTTTATTACATAACCTTTTTAATCTTTTTCTCTTTTTATTTAATCTAAAAACACCCTGCCAATATTTTCCTAATATTATTATAAGAAAATTATCTTCAATTTTTATTTTAAAGGAGTATTTAATTTAATACCGTTTACTTTAAATTTATATTCATGTAAATAAAACCTTTTATTTTTATATTATTTAATAAAAATGCTTAAAGTTGATTGAATATTTTGTAAATGTGCAGTTGAAATACAATCTACATCAGTTTCTTTATCAAAAATAATAAAATATTGTTCTCTATCAATAATATCCATTTTTAACTATAATAATTATAATAAATTATGCTTGTAATTGATTAAAATTTCTGATAGAAGGCACTAAGTATTACAGTTAGTTTTTTAAGATGCTTAAAAATGATAAGCAAAGCAATATTTATAGGTGATAAGTAGAAGATATATTTTGTAATTAGATTTAGAAGAGTATTGATCAATTAACAGTTTATTTAATAATGATAACAATAGAATACTGCCTCAGTTAGCATTCTGTACTGTACAATTATATTAAGGGAATTAAACTAAACTATTTAATAAAACTATGAGTTAGATATATTGCTAAGTTAAAAGAAATTGCTCTCTATTTATATAAAATAAAATATTAAAGTTATCAAAGATATAAAGAAATAGATATAATATATGAAATAAATATAATATAATAAATATATAAGATAAATAAAATAAAATAAATAAAAGAAATATGTATAAAAGAAATATATACTATAGATGACATAGAAGACATAGAAGACATATATAATTTTTTAGGGATCGACATCATCTATTTGATCATCATCATCTATGTCTTCTTCTGTGTAATAATATTAATCATTTTAAAAATTGTAAATAAATTTAATTGTAAAAATAAAATATATATTAATGTAATAACAATTAAATTATATGAAATAGAATATAATTTTTGATTAAAATTTATTAGCAAATAAAAATTTTTTATTGATTAATTTTATAGAATATAAATTTTATATTATAGTTGAATAAAGATAAATATTATATTTTAAGTATTATATATAGTTGATCAAATAATTTTAACATTTTGAATGTTTTAATAGTTTTCATTACCTAGTTAAATGATTTTTAAAATATATTAATTAATTAGAAAATTGAAGCAATTAATATTTAATTTAACTGATAGGTTATTATATAGCTAATAGATTATTAGTACAAAATATTAATAAAATTAAGAGATCTTTCTGATTAACTAATATATATAAAATCTTTTACTTTTTTATATTTCTATTATTATTAAATTTGAAAATTTTAAAAAAAGTATATAAAAAATTTTTATATAAATTAAATGTGATAAAATAAATATAAATTAAATAATATATAATATAATAATCATATTAGTAAATTTTAATTATACTTATAATATGTTAAATATAATAATAAAAAAGCTTTATATTTTATTTAAATATATTATAATATTTAATAAAATTTATTAAACATTTAATAATTAAAATAAATTTTTTTTAACTATTGCTATGATTAACAACTCCTTTGTAATATTTTAAAACAAATTTGCATTTATAATTAATTACTGTAAAAATAAAGTATTTATATATATAAACTTATATAATAATAAATTAATATAAAAAATTAACTTTATATTTAAATTTCTATTTTTTTTTTTTTATAAAAAAAAAAAAAATCTTTAAGTAAATCTTAATCCTTTTAAATAAACTTTTTGTTTGTTTTTTGAAATAAATATTACATTGCTCATTTGAGTAATTATGAATCATCATCACAAAATTCTTTAGTTATTCCTATAAGTCTCACATGTTGTAATAATGGCAAGCCTATTTGATTAGAAAATATATTTAAAAGTGTTATAGATTGTTTTAACAAAACTTTTATTAAAAGTTAATAATGTCTAGTCTTACCAGCTAGAATTTGTCTACAAGACAGAGAAACTTTTGTATATTCCAAATTAAGTAACATCAATTTCACAAGTCCTATATTAATGAGGTATACAATTAGAAATTGATCTATAACAACAAAAAAAGGAAAACAAAAAAAAACTAATAATAGGAATCACTACCTTGAAGTTCTCTCACACCTTTATCAGTAACATGCGTGTATCCAACATTGAGATACTTTAATCCCCTATTAGAAAATGCAGCTTTGCCAATTATCCGCAATGATTCATTTTTAATCTTTGTTTTGTTTAAACTTAGGTGTGTAAGTCCTCGTATATCTAAGTTATAAAAGTTACAATTTTAATTTTAATGGTGATATAAGTATAAGACAAAACATTTGTTAAAAAGTAACCTTTTATGTAAGTCAGACCGACATCCGTAATATTGGTTCGATCAAGATACAATTCGGCCAAATTCTCTAAATCTAATATAAAATAATCGATGAGATAATTTCCTATGAAAGTTAATTCAATGTTAAATCGAGTATATGAACATACCTTTCAAAGCTGTCATTCCAGCATCAGTTAATTTGGTTCCAGACAAGGATAAAAATGATAGGCTACCATTAAAGAAAGAAGAAAGAAAAGATCCATGAATATATAAATAATCAAAAAATCATAAAATAAGCAACAAACCTTTTTATTCTGCCAATATGCATTACACCAACATCAGTAACATTTTTAAAATTTTCCAAGTTAAGCTTATCTAATGGCAGTCCTATAAAAAAACAAAAAATAAGTATCTGTTATTAAATAATAAACCTTATAACTTGCTTACCAGAAAAGTCCTGTAATATATCATCCATTTCTTCTTCTTGATTCGGAAAATTGATTTCATTAAGAGATTTGTACTCTAATTGAAATGATCAAATAGTGTTCAACATCAAATCATTAACATCATTATAAGCAATTACATATAAGTTACCTTTTGCCATCCATTTCAACCCAAATTGGCCAACTCCTGTAGTTTTAGTTAAGTTTAAATCAACAAGGTTCTTAAATCCACACAAAATTTTCATAACATCCTGATCGCAAAGTTTAGTACTAGAAATATTCAAAATCTCTAATTTTTGGAAACTTGAAGGATTAACTGGAACTTGAGGTGGTGTTAGCTGAGTGCTGCATAGATTGAGAGAACGTATACTCTCCAATGCTATATTTAAATGAAATAATATTATTAATTAACCTATGATTATAAGTAAATTAAGATACAAATTAACACTTACGTTGCAAATCTGCAAATACAGTTTTTCCACAAACTCCAGCACAGTACGACAAATCTAATACTTCCAATTTGCTTGCAAATCTACAATTTGCAAATAGATCCCTTAAACCAGTCATTGTTACTTTTGTCTTTGATAAATTTAGATCGACTAAATTATTAAACTCTTTATAAAAGAAAAAAAAATTTTAACGAGAATTAAGTATAGTAAATATCACATTCACATCTTGATAGAAATTGTTATAATACCTTGTATGAACTGGAGAGCACGATCTCTTACCCTACAAGATGAAACATCCAGCGTTTCTAAATATCTCAACCCTAAATAATCCGAATGTTAATATAAACATCAGGAAATACAAAAAAAAAAAAAAAAAAATTAAGTAAATTCTATCAATTTGGACCTTGTAATCCTCTTAATCCCGTATCGGTTAAAACTTGGCATGCTCTCAAGCTTACTTTTGTAACTGAAGTTCGTTGCGTACTACCAATAACTTCCAATAATGAATCGGATGCCCGCGGATAATTATCTAATATAATATTCTGCAAATTACTGTGGTCAACATAAAAACGATCAATTTCACTAAAAAATATAATAATTAATAAAAGTAACGTAGAAGAAATAGTGTCCAACCAATTCGCAAAACGTTTAAATGTAAGAGCATCCAATTTTTCCATTTTTATCAATTCTGCCACTAATAATTCGCCGATATTGGAAGATACATTAGCAAGCGAATTTATTATTCTGAAACTTGTTGCAGAAGTCAATAGCGCTAATAAAACAAAATTCAATTTATTGTTAATCGTAAAGATCAGATTAATCATAGAAACCTGAAAGAGGAGAATTTATAATTACCGGCAACTGTGTATGCACATTTTGATCTTAAACTTCCAACTTCATGCTTGATCCCGTGTTTCACATTTTCATCTTCTACATTATTTTCTTCGGGTTTTGCTCTTGCTTGTATAGCATCAGCAATTCGCTTCCTTTTTTCTTCGTCATTCACCGCTATTATGATAATACGTTAATCTAGAGACACATCGATTACCAAAAAAATCAGATCTTACTTACTTTCATCATCAGAGTCATCAGAGCCATCAGAACTCTGTTGAAGATCATCAGTTAAACGGTGACCTCCCCCGAAAAACGGTCTTTGTGGAAGGCGACCTAAAAGTTGCATATGTCTGGGAACTTGCATTGGCCCACCCGGAAAATTCGGTGGAATGTTCGGGATCTGTGGTGGTAATGTAGGTCGTACAACCGGAAAGTGAGGGGGGACATTAGGTGGATTATTACTTGGTTGTGTATGTTGTCCACCGGGAAAGTGTGGAGGGGCATTATTATTTGGAATTGCAGGTTGCATAGGGATCTGCGGTGGTAACGTGGGTCGTATACCTGGAGGAACGTTAGGAGTTTGTGAAGATGGTGGAACATTTTGGGGCATTGGCTGTTGTGAGACAACAACCGATGGGATGTCACATCTCACAACATTCAAGGAAGCATTCGGTACCAAACCGGCATCTGCAAGAGTTAGATCCATTTGATCGTCTCCAAATACTTTTCTTGGATATTGGGACATCAATTGGAATTCTTTACTTGGTTCACTCTCGTTAGTAACCCATTCAAATAAATTAGATATTCTAACAGAAGTTGCAAAAGCTTGTCGAATAGATCGACCTGTTGATAAACGAATCCGGATAAGAGTTGTATCCTGTGTGGGCACCGATGAAGTTCCAGGTTGAGATGATGTAGAAGCAGCTGGATTGTTTGTACCAATCACAATATTTTCGCTTTCTCTCGCTTGATGTGACATTTTCCGTTGTTTAATCTTTTCCCTATCTTCTTTGATTGCCAATAATGCTTTTTTACGAGCTTCACGTTCTAAGATTTTTTGTTTCTTAACTTCTTCTGCTGCTTTTGCTGCTTTAGCTTTACTTTCTTTTGTATACTCTGAATCGTCAGCTGGTTGTAAATGACGAGATATTATAGTTGGTTGTGGAGTTGATTGTGACACTGGACCTGACTATAAAAGATTTACGAGTAAAATACAATTATAAAAAATATATATACATCTATAAATTTATATTTTAAATGAATATTCACCATAGAATTATTAGACGTCATTGGATCAAATGAACTTCCTAGAGATAAAGTAGGAATAGAACGAGAAATTCCCGAGTTTGGATCCAAAGCATTAAGGATCCTTCAATTTTTTTCAATTTAAAATAGATATTACAAGTTATAAAAATCTTTAAATCACTTTTATAAATCGATTTTATTTGTTAGTTGAATGATAAAGATGGTAAACTGACCATTCAGTTGCGGCTTCTACAGTTCTATTGCAATCAACTGCTTTTCGACAGACCCATTCGTCAAAACCAAGGGAAAGCAATTGAGCGAACATGAAGTCCTTTTCAGAACTATTTGTATCCATTGTAATTATTCAATTGATTGGTTAAAATGAATGAATTTAAAAGAAACGTTGAAGAATATATGGTTTATTTTTTTGATTCGTAAAAAAAATAAACGGACACGATATTTATAGAAATATCTCTGTGTGAAAACCAAACAATGATTGTAAGCTGAATTTATACAGATGTTCAAATGCTGCGGTTAACCGGTAACACAAGCGAATTCATAATTACGTAGGATTAAAGGATGATATAATGAAGAATAAGCTTTTTTTTTTTTTTTTTCCGTTATTATTAATAAATAATTTAAAAATTTAATAACTTAAATCATTTCTCTCCTTTGCTCCTATATATGCCGATTGCATGTTTTCGGAAAAATGTTCGCCATGGGTAAAGTAAGGGCAACAAAAAAAGGCGCAGAAACACCATCAACTCCAACGTCGCCTCAAAGAAAGACGAGAACCTCAGGAAAGAAATACACGGAAAAGGAGATAATGAACGTTTTACAATATATTCTTGATCATTATGAGGATTGGATTAATAAAAAAATAAATCAAAGAACAATCATCATTAAAGCCTTAGATCATTACGATATGAAGGATCGTACTCCATACGCAGTACATTTTAAAGTCGGTAGATTGCAATTTGAGTACAAGAATTATGGAAAAATCAATGGGTTCTCGAGTATAATTAATGATATGGTGGCAAGGATACTCAAAGGAAATGTTGAGACGGATTATCAACGAGAAATTGAAGGTGTCGATACATTTGAAATTAAACAAGATCTGGTTTCTTATGATGAACAATTTCTTGAAGGTGACAGAAATAAAATAATCACGGGAGAAATAAGGGACGAATTTGAAATTAAAAAAGCAATATCTAAAGAAGATTCGATATTTAAAATGAATAAGCCTTTTCTACCAATTATGACAATGAATGAGCCTAAAGAAATTACTGATTTTCCAGCGCAGGCAGAGAAACCAAATGTGGTTCACAATCTCAAAGATTATGATCCAAATAAAGAACAAAAACCGGAGCCATTATTAGGAAATTCGAGCGGTATTACCAGCACGGATATGAAAATTCCTAATGGTCCTATTACGTATCAACACGAACCTCAAATGTCTAATAAATTTACGTTTCCTTGCACACAAATGTCAAGGTATCTGGTCGTAATAATTTATTGCTTCTCGTTAATTGATTTCATTGTAATTTTATTTTCTATTAATTAGCGACAAAAATAATTCCTATTTCATCTTAACTGCTACGTATACTTTCATGGAGAAAACAATAGTGGACGAGATATACAAAAGGAAATTATGCGAAATTCGCGGAAAATACCAAGGGATCAGAAACGAAAACAATAGAAAGAAATTTAAACAAATTAGTAAGCTTAATCAATCATATACTGAAATCATATGCTTGTTAGGTCGAATAGAAGCTAGAATGGTGGAAATACAAACCAAGGGTTAGCCAAGAAAGACTTGATTTTGACGCAGTAATTATTCAATTTGCGACATCACATCAAAACCCTGTCAAAATAATAACTTTTTTAGAATTCTTGAACAGGAAGGATTCATTCATAAATATATATTTATAATCATATAAAATTGTTAGGTTTTTATGAATAAATAAGTTAACAATACTTGTTTCGTACATAAGACATTGTTGGCAGAAACTATTTCTATTTATTATATATTTTCAAGTGATAAATAACCAAAATTACGGATAAATTTCTTTAACCTGATCTATATTAACAAATAAGCGAAATATCATTTCAACTGGATAAAATGATGATATAAAATCAATTTAAAAAAGTAAAAAAATGAGGATTTATCACAAAATATTCCAAATATTCCACAACGATTCCCTAAACCATTTGCATTCACAATTATACTTTAAGAAAAGAAAAGAATATGAAATAATTAAACTAAATTATTCATTTGTGGGAGGGAAGTGTCGATAACATATAGAGTTTCTCTTAAAATATCTTACATTTTTATCATGATACTTTAGAGTAGATGATTTTAAGATAATTTAGATGATATTTAATGTTGTCTACTATAAATTTTACGTAAAAAAGTACAACTGTCTTAAATTTTGCAAAAAAATAAAGTTGTGGCTAATAATTTTTTCCATACCAAAACCACGTTAATTATATTTTTACATCAAATAAAGATAAACTATTTCTAAAGGGAATTAAATAGAAATGGGAAGTTCATAAGCGTTTGAATTTATCAGATTTTCGTTTCTTATTATTACAAGAAGAATTTAATTTACGTGTTGAAAAAATCCGATAACGCGTTTAATTGTTTATCAAATAAATAATATTTTTGCTGTAGAAAAAAATGTAATTTTCATTTGATTTAATAGCACAGAGTTTTGAATGTGTTAAATGGAGAATTCTTTATTCAAACCAAAATCAATCATGATAGATTCTTTCGAAGTATTCATTCATCTCAGAAATCTAAATTTTTATAATTGTCTTTAAAAGTAAAAGTGAGTCAAATTTTTAACCCATTAAATGATTTAAAGGTATATTAGGTATATTAAATTTATTAAATGCTTAATATGTTGAAGTTTAATGTCGGCCGAGTCGTTAATGCCGGCTAAAATAATTTATAACCATAAAACAATATCCCGAATTTTCTAGATGCGGAAAATCATTAATTATATATTAATTATCATTACTTCATATAGAAATAATCAGAATCTAAAAAAGGAATAAATATTATAATAAAAAGTATCATTTTGTTTAAAACCTTTTCCTGGATCAGTTTTTTTGGCGAGAAAACTCGTGCACACCCATTTTTTCCCTAGATTGTCGCACAAATGAAGTTACACAGCTCCGGAAAAACCAAAAGTTACAAAAACCTGGTTTTTTCCCACACGGATTCTTATCGTTAAACTCAAATCTTTTCTTTTCTTATTCAAATCTTATCTTTTTTGAATTTTATCATATACCTTAATAAATTTATAGATTGCTTGAAAGTACAGTAATCTTTTTTTTTTAAAAAAATTGAAAATTATCTTACTCGTACATTTGTAGTTTTTTTTTTTTTTTTTTTTTTAAAAAAAACTAATAATATTTTGTATTCAAACAACACTGATGAGTCAAAGATCTCTGATCGAACTTCTGAAAGACCTCACGGAAAAAGATGATATGCGGATATGTAGTTCTTTACTGGAACGATGTCTCAATACATCTATATCGGATCTGGAAAAGTTCACTGATAAACTGTCGCAGCTTCTGCGCGATTTTCCTGATGTTTACATACCAACCCTGCAAATCTTCATTTCTTACCTTTGTGATGAATCTTCGCGTAAAAAAACTTTACTCCCTAACCGGCGGGAAAGATGGATCACCGCGATTTCAGATTTCATCTCATCTTTAATCACCACTGTCATCATGCAAAACTTTGACCACTCCGACTTTCCTGGCTTTGGAGAGCTTATACACGATTGCATCGAGCTTCTATGGAAAGTTCAAAATATATCTTTGATTAGTAATAAAGGAAACAATTTAGCCATCCAGATGACAAAAAGCTTCTTCAACGCAATCCTTAACGCGGGTGTCCTGGGAATTTTGGTAACAGACCCTTCCGGTCGTCGCTGTCTCAAACGCATTCTGTTTGACTTCAACATGATTAACCATATTGAACGGGAAGAACTACTTAGAGCGATAGATATGGTCGCGGCTCTTGTGGAGAAATGTTCTGAGCACGAGGAAGTTTCGATTAGTCTATCAGAATGGTTTTCGGTATATAAGGCATGTACATCATTGTTGAACTCCCTTAGGAGATTCAAGAATTTGGAAAAGAACCAGTTAGTCAACAAGAAAGAAATGTCGCTACCCGCGCTGGACGATATGGTTAAGCTTGATAATAAGGAATCCAGGACGATCAGGAAACCGTTTGCGAATTCCCTTATGGTGAATAGCAACTCATTACCTGTGTCCACACAGGATGAACGAAATCTCGCGTTTTTAGGGATGAGGGCACCTCAAAAGCTATCAGTTTTACCCAACTTTTTGCATGCAATTGAACAACGAAAAATAGATTCATTCCGAGTAAGTATGATCGTGTTTTTGTTTTAATGTGTTAATCGTAGTGAAATTGACAAAGTTAAATTCAACTTCACTTAGAATTTGATGGGATTCTTGTCATGCGCAGGTTGCCGCAAACAAGCCCTCGTTTATTTTTCTCCTGAAAAATACTTTTGGCTCACGGATATTGAAAATGAAAGAATAACAAGGATACCAGATCGTCTTTTCCGTCTTCCATTCGAATTTGATGACGATGACAGGCTTGGACCATGGGACATTCTTCTCAGCGGAGACACGATCAAACATATGCGGAACTTGGAATCACATCTTGTGATTAAAGCAGTCATGAAAAAACTTGGACAGATATCATCTGGAGAATGGGATAAGAACAAACTGCGATGTGCGGTAGCAACTCACGACATCCCTGTCTATGAAATAGAAATTCCTGGAAATAGTGACCTGAAGATCCTCTGGCAGGTCGATTATGGTTTCTCCATTCGTAGCTATTTGCTCACGCAATTTGTTAGAGTTTGGGCCGTCACCGCTGATCGGGAGCAGATTCGCAAAATATTAGAAAATCTTTTGATCGTTCATCGGGTTTATACATTAGAACACAAATTCCGGTGTGAAGTCGAACAGATGGGTGGCGTAATTTTACCAAAAACCTTTGGAGATGAAGAAGAAACAAGGTCCATTGAAGAAAATTTGGATGTCTCAGAGAAAAATGATGAGAGGTTATTAGATATCCATAAGATGCTTGTTACAAATAAGTTTGTACCTTTATCAGCGGTAAGTATACGTATCATTGATATATAAAGATTAAATACAATAAATTTTAATAGGTATTATGATTTCTCGCAGAATTTGTACAAGTCGCTCGTTTTGGGTGGTTTCGATTTTACCTTCCAGGTATCCAAGATAGAATACGAGATTATCAATAATCCTACTTCAGCGATTGTCATTGGTCGATCGGGTTAGTGGTCTAGTTTAAATGTTGTAACTTGAAAAATGAAACTATAACGACGTTGGTTTTATCTTACATAGGGACCGGTAAGACCACGTGTATTTTGTTTAGACAGATTGCTTCACATTTAAATAGTCAATTATCCAAGACTCCGTCCTCGTGTGGTAGTGACAGGTTTTCTCACAAAAGGCAGATATTCATTACAGTAAGCTACAAGCTGTGCCGTCGGGTGAAGGAATACTTTATCAAGTTGCGAGAGTCTGCGATGCTTGCTGGTAAAAAAATGTCTATGAAGCAGTTTAATGAGTATATGAAGAAAAAAGGGAAGGAAGAGGAAATCCCCGTAAACAATAACACAATGCTCGAAGAGGGTGATGAGGAAAAGGAGCTGAGTGACATTCCAAACTCATTCCGTCAGCTGACAGATCACCATTTTCCACTGTTCATTACCTATGAAAAGTTTTCAAAAATGCTACAGGGAACCTACTGTATTGATATACTGAAACTGATCAAACAACAAAATCTAGATAATGATAATGCTGCTGATTTATACGAAGGCGAAGAGAAATTCCGTCGAATATCTTCTATCACAAATACAACCAACAATTCATCTGAACATTTTGTAGACTATAATAAATTTAAAAAAGATTATTGGCCTCATTTGAATAAACAAAACCTGGATTGCGGGTTGATCTACTCTGAATTTTCTATTATTAAGGTATGCAATTATATGCAAAAAAATCCCCATTAGAAAAATAGTAAATAATGAACTTCATAAATTACTTGAAACCTTCAAATGCGGAAATCAATTTTCCCGATCCTATCTACAGTCGACCTCTCTAAATGCACCCCCTTGGGATTATATTGAAAAATTTGAAAAATTGTTCATTAATGAGGGTGTGCAATTTAAAGTGAAAATTTTCACATGCTTGGGAGCGTGCATTTAGAGAGAAAATATACAGTGTGTGCATTTAGAGAGGTTTGTCTGATATTATATAGAAAGTTCTCTTTTGACCTCTATCATTCTCAAATTTCTTAAGGGTTCAAATCCCGATGTGGATTATCTCTCAAGAGAAGATTATAGAGCCATCAGTACCAAGAAATACCCAATGTTTCGTCACAATCGTGACCAGGTTTATGATTTATTTCAACAATACGAAAAGAAGATGAAGCGAAATGACCATTATGATTCAATGGATAGGTAAATATCAAATGTTATATAATATTTGTTAGATTTGGATAAAATTTCAAGCTTAACTTAGTTTTTCACAGGACGTTAGCCATTTTACGTTGCGCAAAGATGAAAGCACTTGGTGGACCGCAAATTCATGAAGTATACATTGATGAATGTCAGGATAACCAAATCGTGGATCTTGCACTTATCTTAAAGATCTTTGAGCGTGTTGATGCGATATTTTTAGCCGGAGATATAGCGCAATGCATTGCCCCGGGGTCTTCTTTCCGATTCCAAGGTATTCATTATTCTTTAAATGATCCCGCTACTTCTATTCCTAAGCCTAAATTTTAATAATTCGTACGTAGATTTACGCGCCTTGATGTATAAGTGGGAACTCAATCGGATACAAGTCAATCACAAACAGCACAGCAATTTAAAACCGAAACAATTTGAGTTAAAGATTAATTATCGTTCTCATAATGGAATCCTTCGGCTTGCTGCTTCTGTGATTCAACTTATCTGGGACTTTTTTCCCGATTCCATTGACTACCCATCAAAGGAACATGCCGAGATTGGTGGTCCACTGCCCGTCTTTTTTGACGGATTTCAAGAACGACATTTTGAAGACTATTTTGCATCACAAAATATTTCTAATAATATCGAATTTGGCGCCGATCAGGTTATTATTGTACGTAACAACGAAGCTAAATCGAGAATAAGAAAGCTAATTGGTGACGCTGGACTTGTAATGACAATATTCGAAGCTAAGGGCATGGAATTTGATGACGTTTTGTTGTATAATTTCTTTTCTTGTTCACCTGCACAATTAAAGGTACAATGTTGTACAATTGTTTCGAACCATCTTATAGATTGCTTATTGATTATTACTTGGTTGTATACATTTTTTTTTTCAGTGGCGAGTAATTCTCTCCAAATTGAAAGATAATTCTGAAGGGATCCAGGTCTTTTCTCACGAAATCCATTACATCCTTTCTTCAGAGCTCAAACATCTTTATGTCGCGGTGACCAGAGCTCGTCAGCATATTTGGATATGTGACGATAATGCTGATTATAGTAGGCCTATTAAAAAATACTGGAAAAGTCTTGGGCTGATTAAAATTATCCAAAGTGTGAACGAAATTAGAACTTTCTCCACCTTTGCTAAAAAGAGCACTTTACGCGAATGGGATCAACGTGGGAAAACTTTTTTTGAACAGCGGTTCTATGAGCAGGTGAAAATTTTTATTTTACCGATATCATGCATTCAATTTAACTAATCCAAATAAATTTCATTTAGGCTATTTTCTGCTTCGAAAAAAGTAAAAACGAAGAGAGTCGCGATCTAGCTGTTGCATATAATCTTCAACAGATTGCTAAGAATGCTTCCGATAACAACACTGCAAAGTCCAATTTCATACATGCGGCTGAGGCATTCATAAAGTGTAACCGTCCCATCCAGGCTGCTTCATGTTATGAGGTAAAATATTGATTTTTCTATTATATAAATAGTATTTAAACAAATGTGACAATAATAATTTTTTTTTGAATTCTGTTTTAATATCCTCTATTTTGAAATTTGATAAATACTTACAAATATGAAAATTCTAGCATATCGGCATGTATATAAAAAGTGGTGAAGTTTATGCCAATTGCAATATGTTTGAGCATGCGGGAAATTGTTACATTAAAGCCAAGATGATGAATTTGGCTGGAGAGTATTTTGAAAAAGCCGAGCAATATATTGATGCTTTTTTTACCTATAAAGATGGTGGTCTTTATGGAAAAGCAATTACTTTAATCCAGAGGTAAGCCCATAGATATAGAATTTGATTGCATATAAATGTCAAAATTAATTCGAATTATTGTAATAAGACACAGAAAAGAAATTGACGAGAATATAATTCGCGCTGAAGCTGAAAATCTACGTTCACGTGGTAAATATAAAAAAGCCGCCGATTTGTTCATTTGTTTGAATAATGATGAGGATATCATTGAGGCATTACAATGTCTCTTACACTTATGCAGAGTTAATGTACTGAAAAGCACAATAACGGATATTACAATTCCAAGTACTTCACAGGAGCTAGAAGGTCTTCTTTCTAAGATAGCTGAATTCAGATCGCAATTAGTGAAGAAATCTGAGCTACTGGAAGAGTTTCAGTTATATTCAGCTTATTTCAACAAGGATCTTGATGAAGTTTGCGAGTATTTGCAAATTTTCAAAACAAACGAAAATATAGTTTTCGAGTTTCGTGCGTTAAATATATGGCTGCAGATTCTTCCTCAATCTGGTATTCAGGCCGAGTATTGGCAAAATCGGTTGCAATGTCTGTATAGGCTATGCGATCTGATCTTTCCTGTTATAGTCCAACGACGTTATAATGACAATATTGACGAAATCTACAAGGATTTCGAGAATATTTTTATTGTAAGCAATGTGAAGAATCGCTTGCAAAAACGCAAAATTTTTCCTGACAATTCACTTGTTCGTCTCATAGAAAATATGTGTGAAAAAAACGACAAAAACATGACCAAAAAAAATATGATAAAGATAATGGATAATCAGCACGTTTATGATGTACATGTTGTGCATCAAGCCATCTCGCAATTTCTTGCTTCACATATCTATGAACTTATCTTGGATGCAGGAAAAAAGGGTAAAGATATTCCAGAAATAGGTTCTTATATCTGTAAATATACGAACTGTCGATATATACCAAATTGCCGAGATCATCATGTAACCTCGACACCATTAATTCTACATCAACGCCTGAACCTTGCATGCCTTCAGTGCACTGTAGTGCAACGTTTGCAAGTTTTATGTCGCAAAAAACTTTTTAGTATTGAGCAAACGAAAGAAATTTTTGGTATACAAAGGTGGTGGGTTGAAAAATTAATTAAAGTTCATGTACGTTATCAATCCCCGCAAACAAGTTGCCCAGAAGTTACTCATATAGTAATCGCCGGAATACCTGATCAGACACGTTATGGGTTTACTGATCTTGCCCATAATAAATGGTTACGAGACGAATTTAACAATGGTAGCGACTTTGAGGTTATGTTAAAATACGTGTTCTTATTTCAGCTGTTGCGAGACGGTTGGGGCTTTAGGATGTTTGATTGGAAGATGTCACAAGTAAAAGAGATTTCACAACCTGACGATTTACCCGCCGGTTTTGAATACAAAGGATATCATCTAGCGATTCCAGTTGGGAAACGACTTTCGTCATTCTTTTTTTTTCTCTACTCTAATAAAGTGATCGAAGCGATCTCAAATCTGAATCCTTTTATTCAATACGCTATAATCAACTCTCAAAAGATTAACTTGACTAGTATTTATGCTTTTGGAGACCTTACGACCCTTATCGAGTTGTCAACGTCATTAGTTTTCGCAGTCGGCCCTAAGGATTGCAAATTTTGCCTTCCTAGAGCTTATCTTGTTAATTATTTTGACAAGTTCACTATGGAGCCGCTACTTCCGCAAAAACGACGCGCTTATAAAATCGATGAATATCTAGCTGCGATCAAAAATGTTCTCAATCAAATTCAACTACTTCTCGATCTTCTTCTTTGTAAGGAACCGATTAATCCGTCGATCATCCTTCGACTGATACGTCTCTTAGTCCTTATCGGCTTGAATGAATCCACTTTTGAGCAAGATGTCTTTAAAATTTTCGAGCGTCTGCACAAAAAAAACGAAATCTTTCCCGTGAAAATCAAGAATTACTTATATGAGAAAAAATTTGTACGCCTCGTTGACGTTCTACATAAAGACCTCATGGAGACGGGATGTGACTCCCTTGTCATAATTCACTACAACAACTTTGGCTCATCAAAATTTTCTAACTTGGAAAAACATGGTATTGTGAAGATTACATATCAATCTATTGAAGAATTCCTTAATGCCCTTCGCCAGATTATGTCATCAGTAGCCAGGGATACGGTCTCGGAAAATCGGCTTTTAAATAATATAGATTGGTCTCGCCAGATTAGAAAATTCTGGAACCTTCAGATCCACGATTCTCCCCGTGACCAAGAAGCAGCAAAAAAAATTCAAACCTGGTTTCGCGAGACTCAAGAGCGACGTCAAAGGACTGTTCACGACCCAATCTTTGAAAAAATTTACAATGAAGTAAGAAATTTCTGCCAGGAATTTGCGCTGAAACGGAAGGGTGAAATAGTGGTACGAAAGTATAATATGCTCTTGAGAGGTTCGACGGTTGACAAAATCGTGGAATTGACCAAGTTGCTGAGCAGCATGGATAAAAACAAGAATTATTTGGGAAAATTGAAAAAAAGAGACTATGATCTTGAAATATGTGTTGAGCTAGAGGAAGAATTAACGTTTGTTGATATTCATTTAGTATTTATTTATTTTTTTTTTCCTTATCATTCAACTCATTCGAATTTGTGTTTTTAGGTATGTCCAAGAAGAAGTTGAACAGCTACTGGATTCATTATCTATTATAGAAAACATTGAAAAACATGAAGAAGCAGATATTGAATGGTTGGAAAACGAATTACAGCAGGCAAAGAGTGTCATCGATAAGGTTTTGGAATGGATAGAGAAATGCGAATCACTAGATTAGTAACGTTTCTATTTATAAGAACGAGCGAGATAGCATTTTTTTTTTGTTTTATTAATTGGCCAACTGTGTTTGATTTGGGCAGATATTATGTCGAATTAGACAACTATCAAACACCGAGTAAAGGCCTTTCTTGAGTATTTTTTATAAAATAATTAAATCATTTGATTTGTTGTTAAAGTAATACAATAGATCATTTAGAATTATAAGCGTTCACGATCTTTTTTAGATAGTCATTTAGAGGTTGTTCCTCTTTAAGAGGTTGAAATTGGCATGGAATCAATTATTCAGTTAGAAAACATAAAGTATTTTTATAACATGTAAACGTTTCTAGTCACAAAGCAACATTAACATCTCTATTTAATGAACCATGATTAACGAAATTGATGTCTTACTGATGAATACAATAGCGAACAAAACCGTTTGTTCTTTGTTGCAAAGATATCAACAGCTAAATTAACTTTTTTTCGTTATTAATGGTTTTTAAAAAATACATCTTATTTCAATTTCTTTTTATAATATTCTATTATTCTTCACTGTAATCTTTGCAAGCACATTTTTTTTTTAACGACGAAAATAAACCTATCTTGTTTGCATCAGTCCGGCCGAAATTAAAAAAAAAATTTTAAATGTGATGAAAATATTTTGAGCGTTCGATTGGCTAGTTATTGAAACAGATTTTTGTGAGATAAAACTCTTTTTTATGAAAAGGGAATAATCGAATTGGAAGTCGTTGCTAAGTTTAAGAGGTGATTAGTCTTACTGAGTTATTTATCGAGTTGGTGTTGCTCTAGGTGTAAAAATAATCTGGGAATTAAAAGCTCTTCGTGGCCACATTCGCTTTGGACGTTCTTTCTTGTTTCCGATGTCTTCCACGCCCCTGGAAGTTTACGACGTATTTTAAATTCTATTTTTAGTGGTATCTGTAATTGTGATACGGACTAAATCGTTTTCTCGCCCCGTGAATTTTCGGTTTTGCCCATATGTCCGAAACCTTTAATTTGCAAACACTTAGTTGCGAAACTAGTTTCGCCCGAAACATTAATCTGTGACAAAGGACGAAGAATTGAATTAGAAGTTTAGGAAGTTGGTCCGAATTCAGGGTGGGTATTCACGTAAAGTTAGTTGTCAAGCACATTTATTTTCCCAAGAAAACTGATCAAAACTTTTCTTCGATTAGTTTCTGGGAATATTCCATTTTGATTTCTAGTTCAAAAGCGGACAATTTTGTTATTAAACTTCATGATAAAGCACAATTATTACAATTAAAGACCGGATTTTGTGCATTCTTCGTTATGAGATTCATTTTTTTTTTCCGTAATAGGTCAATTCTTGAATTATAATCCATCAACTTCTGATGTAATGGCTTGACTTCAGGCTCAGTGCAGCCTCTTTGATCGAAAATTTTTTTTTTAGAGCATCTTCTCACGCCGAAAAGGAAAAAAAAAATTTAGATTAAAAGGCCCTGAAGGAAAGATGAGATGAAATTACGGAATTCTTTTACGGAAAAAAAATAAATAATTTTTTTTTTAGATAGCTTAGCCATATTTCCATCTTATGATACGGTTGTGTTGACCTTGAAGAAATTGTTTTGCAGGGAAAGTTCTTGTCTTAGCGAGGTCGACAACTAAAGAGCAATCCGGAACGGTTATGCAGGCCCTAATTTGAACAAGAGGAGTTTTTTTTTCTTTTTTTTGGTTTTATATCATGTGAACGAACACTGCCATTAATCCCATACGTGTAATTAAATAAACCGAGCCAAGTAATTTGTGGCGGTAAGAGTGGCAAGCCTCTACAACGTAATCTAAGCCAATTCAAACAAACTATGATTTTTTAAAACCCGAATTTAACTTACTGTATAAATCAGGAAATAAAATACATCCTTCTCGTTATTTATGAAGTTTTTTTTTTTGTATAAATATGAAGGGAATTTAGTTCAAAAATCTAAATTAAAAAAATCTTATTAGAATAAATTCTTTTTTTTTTATTTTTTTAAAAAAAAAGGATGAAATTCGCTCCCAAATACAGTATAGCGTTCATACTCGCCACTTTGATATTGTTGTCCGCTGCGCCACGTTTGTCGTTGGCAAGAACTGCTGCAGAATGGAGAACTCGTACCATTTATCAATTATTAACGGATAGATTTGCTCAAACACCAGGTCAAGAAAATCTTCAACTCTGTTCTAATAATGAAAATGAATACGAAGTTAGGCATTATTGTGGCGGAACATTTTTGGGAATTGTGAACAAGCTCGATTACATCAAAGATTTGGTATGTTAACAAAACTATTATTTTTTTTTTTAATCCAAATTTTTTGGTTTGTCGTTATAAATCTTAAAAAAAAAAATAAAAATTTTTTGCAGGGTTTTGACGCGATTTGGATTAGTCCGGTTGTAAAACAAGTTGAGGGTGAAACGAGATACGGTGTAGGATGGCACGGATGTAAGCTCATTGACTAAACTATTTTCCAAAGTAAAGAGTAAGCATTGGCTGATGAATTATCTTAAATCTACACCAATAGATTGGGCCCAAGAACTTTATCAAATCAATCCACACTTTGGTACGGCTGATGACCTCAAAAATCTCGTTAAAGCTGCTCATGAGAAAGACATTTGGGTTATGATTGACGTTGTACCGTATGTTTAATTATAACATCTTTTTTTTTTTTTTTTTTTTTTTTTTTTTTTTGATTTTGACATTAAAATGTATTTTTTTTTTTTTTATAGAAATCACATGGGTCCACAGGATGGAAAAAATCCTAGAACCGAAGAATATGTTAAAATATATAATCCATTTAATAAAACTGAAGATTATCACTTTTATTGTGACATTAATAATCCTGGAGATCAAGGAAATGTTGAATATTGTAGCCTAGGTGGTAATTTGCCATTGCCCGGTATGTTTTTTTTTATTTTAAAAAAAAAAAAAAAAAAAAAAAAAAATTTTTGCTAAATAAAAACAATATTTTTCATATTTATTTAATTTAGATCTTGACACGGAAAACCCTGTAGTGGTCTCTGAATTAAACAAATGGGTCAAATGGTTGGTCAAAGAATTCGATTTCGATGGTATACGTATCGATACAGCAAAACACATTCGACATAGTTTTTGGGATGGGTTCACTCAAAGTAGTGGAGTATTTTCAATCGGTGAAGTAGCGGATTCTAATCCAGGATTTGTTGGATCTTATCAAGGGCATATGGATAGTACTTTAGGGTATCCCCTATTCCAAAAATTACAGCCTTTATATACTAATCCTGGTGCTAATATGTATGAAATGAGAAATGCCATAAATGATAATAGAAGATTCTTTAAAGATACTAGTATACTAGGAAATTTTCTTGATGGTCATGATCAACCGGTAATTTTTTTTTTTGACTTGTAAACTTCTTTGAAAAGTCAATTCCATCCATTCATTCATTTTATTTTTTGATTGTTGATTGTAGAGATTTAATCATATAACTCAAGATAAAGTTTTATTTCGTAATGCGTTGACTTTTGTCATGTTAATGGATGGTAAATACTCATTCTTTTTACGTCATCATAGATTAGGAAATTTTACTTAATACAACCTACTTTAATTATTTAGGCATTCCGATAATATATCAAGGATCCGAACATGATTTTATGGGACGTCCAACGGGAAGCGATCCATTTAATCGTGAAGCGCTCTGGCCATCTTCTTATTCACAATCGTCTCCCTCATACAAGTTCATCGCTAATATAAATGCATTCCGTAAAGTATTACCTGGAACATTCTTCTCTTCATTATCTATCGAAGCTTGGATAAATGAACATATTTATGCCTTTTTTAAAGACAAGGCATTAATCATCACCTCTAATTATGGTGGGAATAATCTAAATATAAATTTCATTATACAAGGAAACGGAAGATGGCCTGTTGGTGAGGTTTTAATTAATATTATAAGATGTGAAGAAAAGATTACTATTGATGAATCTCATAATGTCCCGGTTCTAATTGACGGTGAACCAAAAGTACTTTATCCCGAGAAAGATTTAAAAGGTCTTGGCATTTGTGGACTTTAATCTATTTTTTATTTTTTTTTTAGTATAATATTATACGGTAGATTTATTCACGCTTGTTTATAAATAATTAATAATAATAAAAAAAAAATTATATTTACGGTCACGTGATCAATATTCTAAGTTTTCATTTTTTTTTAATTAGAATTAGCCAGAATTAAACGAAGCAAAAAATTTTTCAACATTAACGTATCGTATAATATTATTAGTGATTTTTTTATATATTTCATTTTAAACATTTAGGAATTACACGTAAAAAAAAATAATTTCCAAGTATAAATTTACATATTTTTATTGTTAAATTAAAAAGTATAAACAGGAAACAAAACACAACTAAAAGAAAAATATAGTACTTGTTCGCTACTAGATAATAATACTAGTACCCAGGTTGCACGACGAGGACGTCAGTACTATCGCAACCCAAAAAAATGGAGCTCCTCAGCCGAGAGAGCCTTTGGGTTTCTATCTAATGCCTTTATTTATTTATTTTTTTTTTTTATATATACCCCACTTTCATGCCCCAAGTTTTCCTTCTTGGCGGTTTGTACCCAGTTCTGTCCTTCTGAGCGTGAGTACCAGTTATCTGTTCTGGAGTTTGGTTACCAGTTTCTTTCTGGTCGAAGTTCTCTGCTGAAAAGAAAAATACATAACCGGAACTACGTATAGAACCAGTAGACCTTTTGCAGCTGTTTTCCAAAGAACTCCTTCGTTTTTTTATAAGTGGGTGAAGAAGGGGACACAAAAACAGATGTGCTTGCGAAAGACTGTGTTCGCGAAAGGGGGAGGAAAAGAAACGAGAACGTTTGTGGGAATTTTTTTGTTGAACCAAGTATATTTATACACATAACAAATATACCTGTTGAAAATTACTAAATTTAGCAATAAAATAACGTGACAGATCATTATTTGTTGATCACGTGAAATTTGTTACGCGTTTTGATCAAAAAAATCATTATCT